GAAACACTATCAACTCGGCCTCATCCCAAGGAGGTGGTGAACATTACAACCAGCTACCTGCCTTCTAAAGGCAGAATGTCTCCAGTTTAGCACTACTGACATTTTAGAACAGATAATTCTTTATTTAGTAGGGGCTGTCCTATGCATTGTAGAACAGCATTCCTGGACTCTACCTTCTAGATGCCTCTGCTCCAGTTACGACAATCAAAAGTTTGTCCAGATGTCCCATGGGGGGTCAGGGGCAAAATCACCCCTGGTTGAGATCACTGCCTGAAGAGATCACCAGGACTAATCCCATCCTGCCCTTAACACCTCCTCACCTGGCTGTGTGTCCCCCAGTCTGACATATCTCCTGCCCTTCTCTAACCCCCTCAATCTTCCTCTGAGCCCTGGGAACTCATGCCCAGCCACCATCCAAATCCCTGAAAGTCTCAATCTCCTCACAGAACATTCCTTTTGCTTCCTTGCTCTAACCCCAGACCTAAGAACGCCGTTCCCTACAGCCCTCTCACATGGCACAGCAGGTTTCTCTCTCACACTCCTCCAAGTATCCCCCCACCTTTGCCATTTCCAGACCACTTTCCCCCCAACCTCCCTCTAGAAACCCAGCCCCAAGGAACAGGGGTTGGCAAACTTCAGCCTGTGGGCCAAAGCTGACCCACAGCCTGTTTTTGTACAGCCTGTGAGCTAAGAATGATTTTCACATTTTTAATGGTTGAAAAAAAAAAAAGAAACCAAAAGAGTAATATTTCATGACATGTAAAATTCAAATCTCAGCGTCCATAACTGAAGTTTCGCTGGAAGGCAGCCATGTTCACTTGGGTACCCATTGTCGACGGCTGTTCATGTGCGACAAAGGCAGAATTCAGCTGAGTGGTTGCAACAGGAACCGGCCTGCAAGGCTGACCACGTTTAGTATCTGGCCCTCAACAGAGAAAGTTGCGGACTCCTGCCTCTGAGGCACATGGCAACGGTCTGTACCTTCCGGTCCCCGGCCAGTTGTCAGCACCCACTACCTGCTAGCCCACTCTTCCATGTGCCCTAAAACACACACGTGACTGAAAGCCACATGGCACAACTGCTACCACCAGAGACTGAAGTTCAAAATTACCTCTACAGGTCGGAATGTTGTGTGGAAATCAACAGGACGAAAGCTAACGTTCACGCGTTGAGTCCCACGCAGTGTTCATTATCAGAAAGACTGACACACACAGCAGGAAGGAGCCCTGCTACAATGTCCACACCGGAAGAACTGGGATGTGTGGGGACACATCTGGGGGAGGTCAATTTAGGTCGGAGACTTTCCTAACAAGGAGAACAGTTCAAGGATAGAATGCAGCACCTCAGTAAAGGTAGTGCCCGAGCCTGGAAATGCACCTCATCTTTTGGAAATATGATAGGAAGGGCTCCAAACTTTAAGAACTTTGCAGTCCTAAGCTCGATTATATTCTGTTACAATCTAAACTAGAGAAACTGGTTTTTTGCTAATTAGATGCCCAAAATAATTTTCTCAGTAACAAATGAAAGCACCCAAATTTTCCTTCCTTCCAATCAGATCTGTGAATTTTAAGTACAAAGATGAAACTTACTATGGCAAAGTTACACAAAGATTCTTTCAGATGACACATGAGCAACAAACTCGTACCCCACTGGGCAGATGCTCAGTGTTCTTAAAAAGTTCTATTCCTTAAGAAACCTACTCTGAGTTCAGAGTCTTGTCAGTCCTCATTAGAATTAAAGCACAGGCTTTCAGGCTTGAGTCTGTAGGGAGCCTTTGAGATTTTTCTCCTTTTCAACTCTTTGCATTTTTATGTTTATCTCGATAAAAATATCCCTACATGGTATGTAAATCAAATTCTGTCTCTAAAGAGTCAGAAGTGTGGATCTCACTCAAAGAGCATGCTTAGGGGTGGTTGGCTGGGAGTGGCTGTGTGTGCTTTGGAGACTAGAGTCAAGGGCCAGTGACTTGGGTTTAACCCACAGCTTGGCCCCTTAGTCCTCCATTTTCTCAACTGTACAATGAGCATAATGACCCTTGTCCTATCTAAATCCTACAGAGGATCACTGCGAGAATTAAATTCAAATGATATAAAAGGACTGAGTGGTGAGTGCCATATACTTTTTTTGGAACAACACGAGTTCTCTTCTAAAACACATTTCTACCTTCTTTTCAAAAGTGTTGGCATCATTCGGGGCACAGTTATAAAATCCAGCCCCAAATTCCTGGTGAGTGGGGTCTCATGTGACTCTAAGCTCGCTAGCATTAGGCACGGCCAGGAGGTTCGCATAGAGGAAGAGGAGTCTACGCCAGGCCCCTCTGTCCTTCAAGTTCTGCAGGGGATGGAACACAATGAGCTAACTTGGTTCTAAGGTTCTAAGGTGCTGTTTCGAGGCACAGATGTTGAGCAGGTGACTTAAGTCACGCACACAGCGATAGTGTTTCCCATCTTGCTTCTCACGCTCTTTCCTGCTATCTCACTCCTGCCTTTGCCAAAAGTGTACTGTCGCTTTGGGGCCACAGGCAAAATCCCTGCAATGGCCTTCATGAATGAAGTCACTTCATAACCATCCATCTGGATGGATGGATAGATAAAACATTAGCTATGTTTACAGGCTGGAAAGTGTATTTTTCTCAAATGTTACTAAATTTACGTTAAAGTAACGATTTTAGTAAAATGAAATATCGGTCTATTTGAAAAGAATGAAACAAGTGGCATTCAGAACAGCGTCTCTGGCCTCCTGTTTCAGATCCCACTGAGCCCAGCATTTCGGGACTGTGAACCATGCCCAGGATGGTCCACTTCACTGCTGTCCACCTTGCTAACCTATCACAAGGTGGTGTCACCTGAACTTACAACATAGAGACCTCCGAAAAGTGCGACAGCACAAGAGAGACCAGGAACAAGCATGACACAAGTCAGACACAGCAAGAGAACACCCAGCACTGCTGACAAGGTCCACCTAACTCCTACCCTCAGCACCTCTGGTGGTTTTAAATATTTTCTTTCAGCCCATTATACACACATTCCTCAAGTCTCCCCAGGTTTATCGCTCAAGCCAGTAGCCAGGAACAGTGCTAGGAGACAGCTTCGCGTGCCCTTTGAGCACTGGCTGAGTTTAAGATCCTAGGTCACAAAACGCAATGCTTATGGTAAACATTTTCATTCCTCAATCTGTTTGGAAGTTTAGGTCTTCTTTTCACTAAAGCAGAGCTTGCTGTACACAGATTGCAGATATAGAAAAACCCACCGATGGAGGGTCCCCGGGGCTACAAGGTAGCAAAGGGGTGTCAACACAGACCATGGCTGCACATCATCTCAGACCAATGCCCTTCTCCTTCTGGGACAGCAGGCACCCAAAGGCAGGCCCTAATTCGTGCTCAAGTGACTCCATGAGTACCAGACTGCTTGGGGGACCTCTTGGCAATGGTGATGGTGGGTATTCCCTTAGAAATGGAGAGGAAGAACGTATCTTGATCACGTTCTTTCTTAAGATCATACAACTTATTCGGAGTTATTTTCTTCCTCACCATGCAGCCTGGAGACCCAAGTTTGGCTCCCCAGGGGATCTTCGTGGTGGGGTAGGATGCTGCAGCCAAACGACACAAGCACTTAGGGTTTCCACTCGGTCACAGCAAGATGTGAATGTGTCACTCAGACCTTATGACCCTGGGTGACAGGGACTGGTCCACAGAACCCACCATCCCAGTGAATGAACAGCATCCATTTGGGAAGATATAACTGGACCCAGACCCTACAGCAGCAGGACTAATCTTTTGTTGCACCCCTGTTATATAGAACCATTCTGTGTTCCCACAGATTTTGTCAAACTTTATATTTTAATAAGCAGAACTTTTCACAGGATTATCAAACTTTCTATTTCTTCCTATCTATCATTCTCATTCTTTCTTTCTCCCAGCTGTCAGGTTCATAAGGACAAAGATCATGCTGTTTCCATATATATACACACACACACATACATATTCATAGCTTTGAATAGTCCTGGCCTATAACAGACACTCTGCAGAAACATTTACTGAATGACTAAGTGATAAAGAGGTAGACGGATATTTTGAAATTCATACTGTTTTACTCTATTTAACTAAAATCAACCTTGAGATACTCCTGAGTATCTCAAGACTCTCGCAATCTCATTTTGCTTTGAGAGACAGGGTCTCTCTGTTGTCCAGGCTGGAGTGCAATGGCATAATCATAGACCACTGCAGCCCCAAGCCCCTAGGCTCAAGTGATCCTTCCCACTCAGCCTTCCAAGTAGCTGGGACTACAGGTGCATACCACCATACCTGGCTAATTTTTTTTGTTTGTTTTTTAAGAGCTGGAGTCTTGCTTTGTCACCCAGGCTGGTATTGAACTCCTGGCCTCAAGCTAACCTCCCACCTTGGCCTCCCTAAAGTGCTGGGATTGCAGGTGTGAGCCACAGCACTTGGCCTGATTTTTTTTTTTTTTTTTTTTGTAGGGTTTTGTTTGTGTTTTCAGACAAGTTCTCACTATGTTGCCCAGGCTGGTCTCAAACTCCTGGTCTCAAGCGATCCTCTCATCTCAGCCTCCCAAGTAGCTGAGATGCCAGGCATATCCCACTGTGCCCAGTCCACAATGTCATTTTTCTATAGTGGCATACCAATTATTTCTAGGCCAAAGTTTTGTGTTTTGGCTTCTTTTCCATTTGACAAAGTACAAAAGTACAAAGCATAGCTTTTCTGAACAAAGAAACTAAGCTATTTAACAGTAAAAGCCAGGTGCTGACGAAGAGTTCATGGTGTTAGTAACATCAAGTCTGTGTGTGTCACCAAGGGCCACCTTGCGTGGGAAGTTCCCTGGGATTTTGGTTGGTGGTTTAATGGTAGAGAAGAGGCAATGCCAGGGGGCCTGACTGGCCAGCGGGGAGCACATGGCAGTGCACATCTGTGACATCGTGGCCTCCCTCCCTCCCTCTTTTCCATGTAACCCTGCACAGCGCTCCACTGCTGGGTTAGTGCTTACTTTTCACGGAGATTCTGCACTTGGCCCAACTTGAAGCTGGGAGCCGACTGGGAGCAGGGACTGGTGGGAGCGGACAGGGGACTCTTGACGCTCTGCACCGAGTGCCTGCGACTCCGCCTGCGGTCCAGACCGCGGTGCTCGCCCCCGCTGCTGGAACACACGCTGGCCCTCCTCCGGTCCCGGCACCCGCTGGGGGGCGGCTCCGCTGTCTCATCGCCATCCTCGTGCCTGAGCGCCACCTGAAAAAGCAAAGCACGCCCAAGGCGAGGTCAGACTTGACATCCTTTCACAGACCTTGGCTGTGACTGCATTTCCAGCTTGCCCCAAGGAGGGTTAACCACCGTGGACCCAAACTGTAGGCCTCCGCTTTGCAGTGCAACCTCAGCACCAAAGCGCACAGTCTGCATGCTCAAAGGTGCTGCTCCCGTGTATTTCTTCCAGAAGATGGACACGGAAGGAGTGACCATATCATGAGTGAATATTCCATAATTAGACGGGATCTAATTTAACATGGCCCACAGCATTGCCATTTTCTGCACCCTCGGCTGTTCTGGTCTGGGAACCCCAATTCCTCCAGGAGCCTAGGGGCGGCCAGTTTCTGATCATCCTTAGCTTGCTTTCCCAAAAATGGTGCTTGCAAGAGCACAAAGGAGGCAAGAGCCAAAAGAACCAGGTGAGTGGGAAATGGCCTCACTCATAAGTCTTTCTGAGAGGCCTGGCATGGCATAGGCACCGCTTGATTTTAGAATCTCAGCTGGCAGAGGCTGCACTGTGAGGCTGCCCTCTGCAGTCTGCTCTTGGGTTTGGGGTGGAAGCTGTCCTTACACTAGAAGCCTGTAGATGCAGATGATAAAGACACGTGACAGAAAAAGAACTGACTCCTAGAATAAAGTATTTTTTTAAGTTTCCTCTTAAGAGTGATGCATATTATTGCCTTTCCCCAGTAGGGGTTAGAGGCAATGATATAAAATATAGCCAAAATGTTTGTAACCCTCATAATATCCTGAAATAATAATAATAAAAAGTGATGCATATTTGTGCAGAAAAATAATTCACTTGCACTTGGCCACTTCGGCATTCATGGGGAAACCTGAGCTGAATGGCACCATACGCTTACACTCTGCCTTTTTCCAGGGGGATGTTTTAGCCCTGGGCCTAGCTGGTGCCCTCTGCAGACGCCCAGCTTGTCCATCTCTTACTCTCACTCTATCCTGGATCCTATCTATCCCACTGCTTTCTACCTCACATCAAAACTCATTGTGTTTTTTTCATTACTCTCCAACTACCTTCTGGCAGCCAGCTCTGCTCCTTATCCTTGCTCACTCTTCCTAGCCATGGACTATATTCATCTGTATCTCTGGCTTGAGTTTTTCACACCTACATTCTCTAAAACTGGACAGTAAAAAGAGCACCAAAGTTTTGGTGTTGCCTAGACCTTTGTGTGCAAGCTGGCTGTGCCACTAACCAGGTACGACCTGTGGCAAATTACCCGCACTGTCTCAAGTTCACCAAATGAAGATAACAGTATTGCACTTGCAGATTTGTGATGAGAATAACTTGTGTAAAGCATCTAGAGCCAGGTTTTCTCTGTGGCTGGTCCTCAATAAATATGACTGCCCTTCCCCTACCTATGCTCTCAGGTGTGGTAGGCTAGGATGCCCATAAATTCTTCCGTCACCCAAAACTGGTGGGTTGGGCCACTGCGCTGCCCAGGTGGGCCAGGCTCAGCCACACCCAGCAGGCTCTCTGATGTGGCAACCATGGAGTCACACAGTGCCAAGTCCCCAAATATGCAAGCTCTCTAGGCTTATGGGTGCTCAGTCACATCCTACAACTCAGTCCTGCCATGTGGAAGAGTAGAGAAGTAATATAAAGACCCAGATAGCTAACTAGCCCACATGGCTTTAACATCACCTATGGAAAACCTAGCTATTGTAAAATTAATTGCCCTCATGTCTAAAGCTTGCCAAAGCTGTGTTCATCTAGCAAGATGAGCTTGGTGGAGGCAAGGCCATGTTGGCCACTGTCATCCCAGTTCACAGCACCATATTAGCACCTGAGACTCATGGCCTATTCACCAGGAGTGCATCCACTTTTATTTGCCCTACCCTGTTTTCTCCAGCTCAAGCTTTTGGATAAGATCAATTTAGTGGAAACTCTTATATCTATATACCAAATACATCTTATAACAAACTCTCAGATGTACAAGGACAATTTAATAATCATTTGACTATTTTATTCCCCTAGAATTTACTAGTCAAACAGTTTAGGGGGGATTGAGGCAAGAGTTGATAAGAATTCACCCTAAAGCTCTATCTTTACAAAATCTCAATGGAAGTTCTATTTCCCAGGAATATTCCCCTTCTCCACTCTAACTATAAAAACTAAAAAGGAAATCATGTATTTGATTCATCACATGTGTCATCTTGACTTTAAAACTTTAAATGGCAAGCTGTGGGAAAAGTTCAAGAATAATCACACACCTAACCAAGGATAGCATTTTTAAAGTATTTCTAGCCAATTTTTTTTTTCATTTCTATATATAAAAATTCTAGACCATTTGAACTTATTCTGACCCAAAGTGTTGATTCTGCTTCTTATTAAGCACACATTTGGAATGATAAGATTAGGGGCTAAAGTACAGTTCAGATATTTCTAATTCCTTGTCTAACCTCAGAGATCCAAGGATCAAATAACATTCTGCTCACAGTTTCCTTTCAAAGGGACTGTGCATCAAGTGAAATCCACTCTAATTGCCCTTTGTCAAGGAAGGTAGAGACAATCAGAAAAGTTTCAATGAAAAGAAAAATCTGCAAAATTTATCAAGGCAACACCATAAAACAGAATTCAGTTGGAGCTTTCTAAAGTTCAGATACTTGATAAAACATGTATCTAATTAAAAAAAGAAAAGGACATGGGGGGAGTGAATGGGCCACAGAATTCCAGGAGATCCAAAGCAGAGCCTTGGACTTAGCAGTCAGAGACAATGTAACATGAAATTTGGGGGTGTTGTTCACTCATTGGTTTTGTTTTTGTAATAACAATCCTAGAGTCACCAGTGCCAGAGGGTGACAGGAAGAGAGGCTTGCACATACAGGGCTATGGTGGCTTTTCCAAATTCTTCAGATTCTAGGGAACACTACAGCTTAGAGTCAAGAACACTAGGAACTAGAAAACACTCAGAACAGCTCTTAACACAGGCTTATTCAGAATCTTGGTCAGATCTAATTAAACACAAGCAACAGTGAGTGTCCTCCACAGGAACACAAAGGGAGGGAAAGCCTGTCCTGAAAGATCTCTCATCTCTCCCAAGTGACGGAGTGATTCATTTGTTGGACCTCTCATCAAATACTTTCTCTAACTCTTTTAATTAAAGTAGAACACTGTTTTTAAACTAAAACCTCAGGCAAGGAGCAAGCAGGATCCAGAATCCAGCCCCGATGGCGGCTTGCACACCCCCATTTAACCGCAAAAGCAGTTAGGAACAGTTTAAGGTGGCACCTATGAAAACTTCTACCAGTCTTTGAGGCCACTGAATGATCTGAATATTCTTTTTAACTTTTAAGAACATTTTTCAAAAAAAAAAAAAAGTACATTTTTCTTCTTATTTTATTGTGGTAAGAGCACTTAATGTGAGATCTGTCCTCTTATTAGATTTTAAGTGTAACAATGTTGTTAACTATAGGGACGTGGTAAGCAGACCTCTAGAACTTATTCATGTTGCATTACTAAATGTTATGCTCGTTGATTAGTAATGTTCCATTTCCCCCCATTCTTTTCCTCCAGCAAATACCATTCTGCTCTCTGCTTCTGTGAGTTTGACTGTTTTAGATACCTCATGCAAGTGGAATTATGCAGTATTTGCCCTTCTGTGACTGGTCTACTTCACTTAGCATAATGTCCTCCAGGGCCATCCATGTTGTAGCAAATGTCAAGATTTCCTTCTTTTTAAAACCTGAATACTATTCTATTGCTTGCGAATACCGTATTTTCTTTATCCATTCATCCACTGATGGACATCGAGGTTGTTTCCACATCTTAGCTATTGCGAATAATGCCGCAATGAACATGGGATTGAAATCCTGATTTCAATTATTTTGGATATTCAGAAGTGAGATTGCTGGATCATATGGTAGTTCCAGTTTTGATTTCTGAACAGTCTTTTTCACTTTTCATTGTGGAAATTCTCATACACAAAATTTGGAGAAGACTATATAGACTGTAATGTGCTCCTCACCCACAATAGTTCAACAATTGCCAACTCATGACCAATCTTACCCCATTTCCATGCTGCTCCCTGCCCTAAACCCCACAACCATATTTTTTAAAGGTAAATTCCAGATACTATTTCATCTATAAATATTTCAACATATATCCCTAAAAGGATTTCTATAAAACATAACTACCATACCGTCGCCCCACTTAAAATAATTTTTTAATATCATCAAATATCCAATCATCTGAACATTCTTGATGGAGGTCAAGAACTATTAATGTTTCTTTAAGTTTATATGATTATACTACTGCTAACATCCATAGCCAATAACCCTCTTTACATAATAGATGCCTTCCTTCTCATATTGCTATCTCACACCTTCTTGTAAATTCATACCTACAACACAATTTGATTTACCTTTTAGGCGAACCAGGCATCAGTTCTAGTGACATTTCAATAGGGAACTGTGTTGATGACAGGTTGTGGCCAACCTAACAGCGTTAGGCCCCCAGATAGTCATGCCTCCTTGTTTCCTCCCCTTTGTGGCATTCCCTCCCACATGGAACACAGGCTTGTGACTTGCTCTGGCCAATGGGACATCAACAAACATGATGCGAACAGAGGCGTGAAAAGTGTTTATTTGTTGGGATTTGCCTTTCTGCAATGCTGTTACTACATGATGAAGCATAGGCTAGTCTGATGAAGACACAAGGGCCAGCCTATGGCAAGCACCAAATGCCAGACCTGGTGAATGAGGCCATTTTAAGGCCATCCAGCTCCACTCAAGCCACCAGATAACTGCAACCAATGAAAACCTCCCACCTGAAGCAGGCCCAAATTCCTGACCCCCAGAATCATGAGCAGTGATTGCTGCTTTCAGCCACTAAGTTTTGGGGTGTTTGTTATACACCAGAGATAACAGATACATATTCGTTATCACCTATGACAAGGAAGAATGTTCAGAGACTAGATCCATTACTCCTAAAAGGAACAGTTATTCTTCACCCTCAAAGTCTTCAGTCT